GAACAGGCAGCACTTGCGGATAATAGGGTTGTGCAGAACTAACTTCAGCCTTCGGGAATATAGGTACATCCTCTACCCCTCTCCCTCCCTTCTCCCATACCTTACCAATTGTACAGGCGCCTGCCACCATGTGTATATGCTAAGTCCTCTATTGCCGTTACTTCTTGATTCAAAAACTATAAAGCGGCGTGCCAACCTCCGGAGAAAGAGTATTTCGGTGTTTTGCCGAATATTCTGATTGCTGCCGACAGACAAGTGGCATTCTGACGACCTATTTTGCAACAATCTGTTCATACAGAGACACACTTTACCTATCAGGGTTTTGTATTTGCTTAAATATATCGGTTTGTCTACTATGCTTTCTCTCCCTAAAGATGAACCCGCTGATGTGAATGCACAAACAGGGACTTCCTGTGGTATAAATAACTTAGCCTATAACACTCGGCAACGCGGAGTTGTCCTGGATGTGATGATGGATATTTCTAATATCGCCCACGTGAATGTTCACGTCTTTGAAGGGTCCTTTTGGTAGTATGTCTTCGGGCACTTTTCTGAACTTCCCCAGCAGTTTATATGTTGCGGAAAACTTAAAAAATGCCAGAAGCCAATCTTCAGGCTCCGGCAAAGATGTTTCCAGCGTTATGGGACTTACTGTTGCCAATACCGTTACAATAATTGTGAGTCAAACGAGGTCGTTTTCCAAACAATCATCCCACGCATCCTGACAGGGTCTGTATCCACTCGGATCTGAGCCGACAAACGCAGCAAATTTAAAGTACATCAAATGAGAAATATGGGCTTCAAAGAAAACATCTCGTTTCAAAATAAATGAAATCGAAATTATCAAGGTTGTCTATTACGGACATAACCGTAACGGTGCTAAGTTAAACATCAAGGCAAAATTGGCACATGAGGTCAGCCGACCGCCCTTGAGGGCGCCGCGTGGGCGTTTCTCGTAGTCGCATCACCTGCAGCGGGTTCTGCATGACGAGCAGGTCTGGGTCCTCGAGAAACTGACCAAGCTGCGCCACAAAACAATCCTGAAAGTAGTACTAAGGCTGAGGTGGAAAGAAAACTGAAGTATTGGCGGAATACAAGGCGCAAAATCCAGGTAATGCCGATAATGAAGGCGAAGAGAGGCATCATGAAATAGGAGCCAAAATCGATGTCGACATTGCCCGCGCTGCCTATGAAACGGACGTTTGGTTCACGACCGCGCGTAGTTGCTGATGAGGACGGGCGGTTGGTCGGCATGTCGGTGACCAGACAGTGAATGGTAGAATTGTTCCTGACACCGTAATCACATAGCCGACGCAGCGAGGGATCCACAGAATCGCCCGGAATGGGGGCAGAAATGGTTCCGGAGGTCTGTTCGCGATTTGCTAGTTCTCGCCCCTGGAAGATCAGGCGAATGTTTTTGTTTTGGGTGAGCATTTCCTCGGAGAAAAATTTCCTGGGATTTAAAAAAGGGACAGTTAAGAGATTTTTATTTGCAAGGCCAGAAGACCGAATACATCTTGCGAAGATATGAATTCAAGACCGGAAAATCTAAAAATCAGCAAGTGAATTTAAAGATCTCAATGCTTGATGGGTGTGAGATACCTTTTGAAATACATTATTGGCATATTCTCCGGAGCGTGTACATAGCGGACACGATCATCAAGGTACTGAAGTCGAAGAACAATATGATCACTGGGACATTTGGCTATTGCACGAGCTCTCATATCCTCTTCTGACTTCTCTTTAGTAGCATCCGAATCGCATGGCTCAGTTGACGGTCCTAAACACAAGAATAAGCAGGTACTTGCTGTAAGCACATTAAAAGCCGAAAGAGAAAGTTTTGTTACAGTGATTTTGAGCTTTCGAAAAGTGCCAACAAATGCAAAATCCCGCCTGTTAGAACTTGCGCAAACTTAATCGGAACTGAAATGCTAAAATATTATGTTTATAAGCCGTGCTCAGTTTCCAAGAACGAAATCCAGCAGCTGCCGGTTAGATTACTTCAAAAATCCTTTGTTACAGTTTAAAAGAGGTTTAATACAGTAGGAAAGAAAGGTTTAAAAAAGCATTACTCTAGCGAAAAGCTTCGATACACTATATCAGGCATGCGGGCTAGTTGCGCCTTGTAAAACAGCACGAAACATCACGGTGAACAAATGCGAATTGGTCAAACGTTATACTGGCCGCGTGCGCGTCGGCGCAATCAACTGAAATCCACACAATAAAAGCAAATACTGTAAATGCAAAAATGAATAGGCACCTGCCGCATTTTGTTCCTTTTTGACGGCATCAATATCCTCAAGATCATCTA